TGCATATATATTTACAATTGTTATGTCTTCTTCTTGGATTGATCCCTTGATCATTATGTAGTGTCCTTCTTTGTCTCTTGTAACAGTCTCTATTCTAAAGTCTATTTTGCCTGACATGATATTGCTACTCCAACTTTCTTTTGATTTCCATTTGCATAGAATAATTTTTTCATCCCCTCACTTTCAGTCTGTATGTGTCCCTGGGTCTGAAGTGGGTCTCTTGTAGACAGCATATATATGGGTCTTGTTTTTTATCCATTTAGCCAGTCTATGTCTTTGGTTGGAGCATTGAATCCATTTATATTTAAGTTAATTATCAATATGTATGTTTTATTGCCATTTTGCTAATTGTTTTGAATTTGTTTTTGTAGGTCTTTTTTTTTCACTTCCTCTTTTGTTCTCTTCTCTTGTGATTTGATGACTAATTTTAGTGCTGTGTTTAGATTCCTTTTTCTTTTTTGTGTGTGTACCTATAGTAGATTTTTATTTTGCAGTTACCATGAGGTTTTGATACAGCAGTCTATATATACACAAGATTGTTTTAAGTTGCTGGTCTTTTAATTTCAAATGCATTTCCAATATCCTGCTTTTGTGTTCTCCCCTTCTCACAATTGTTAATTTTGATACCATATTTGTGTATGGATGATGTCCTACCTTTCCTGTATGTTTGCCTTACTGGTGAGCTTTTTCATTTGTAATTTTCTTGTTTTTAGTTGTGGCCTTTTCTTTTCTGCTTAGAGAAGTTCCTTTAGCATTTGTTACAAATCAGGTCTGTTGGTGCTGAATTCTCTTAGCGTTTGCTTGTCTGTAAAGCATTTGATTTCTCTGTTGAACCTGAATGAGAAGCTTGCTGGGTGGAGTATCCTTGGCTATAGGTTGTTCCCTTTCATCACTTTAAATATATCATGCCACTCCTTTCTGGCTTACAGAGTTTCTGAGGAGAAATCTCAGCTGATAACCTTATGGAATTTCCCTTTTAAGTTATTTGTTGCTTTCCCCTTGTTGCTTTTATTAAAGACCTAAATATAAGACCAGGTACTATAAAACTCTTAGAAGAAAACATAGGCAGAACACTCTCTGAATAAATTGCAGCAATATCTTTTTTGATCCATCCCCCAGGGTAATGGAAATAAAAACAAAAATAAACAAATGGGACCTAGTTAAACTCAAAACTTTTGCACAAGGAAACCATAAACAAAATGAAAAGACAACCCACAGACTGGGAGAAAATCTTTGCAAATGGAGCAACCAACAAGGGGTTAGTCTCCAAAACTTACAAACAGCTCATGCCATAAAAACAAACAACCCAATCAAAACATCTGCAGAAGACCTAAATAGACATTTCTCCAAAGAAGACATACAGGTGGCCAAGAGGCACATAAAAAGATGTTCAACATTGCTAATTATTAGAAAAATGCAGGGGCTTCCCTGGTGGTACAGTGGTTGAGAATCTGCCTGCCAATGCAGGGGACACGGATTCAAGCCCTGATCTGGGAAGATCCCACATGCCACGGAGTAACTAACCCCATGAGCCACAACTACTGAGACTGCGTGTCTGAAGCCTCTGCTCCATAACAAGAGAGGCCACGATAGTGAGAGACCCATGCACCGCGATGAAGGCCCCCGCTTGCTGCAACTAAAGAAAGCCCTCACACAGAAACGAAGACCCAACATAGCCATAAATTAATTAATTAATTAATTAAAGAAACCATGTTCTCATGTGAAAAAAAAAAAAAAGATGTGGTGCATATATAAAATGGAATATTACTCAGCCATTGAAAAGAATGAAATGCCATTTGAAGCAACACGGATGGATGTGGAGATTATACTAAGTGAAGTAAGTCAGACAAAGACAAATATCATATGATATCACTTATATGCATAATCTAAAAAATTATACAAATGAACTTATAAAACAGAAACAGACACACAGAGAGCAAACTTATGGTTTCTGGGGGTGGGGGGAGGGATAGACTGGGAGTCTGGGATTGACATATACACACTGCTGTATTTAAAATAGATAACCAACATGGACTTACTGTATAGCACAGGGTACTCTGCTCAATATTCTAATAACCTAAATGGTAAAAGAATTTGAAAAAGAACAGATATATGTATAACTGAATCACTTTGTTGCATGCATGAAACTAACACAAAAATGTTAATAAACTCTGCTCCAAAATAAAATAAAAATTAAAAAAAGAATAAAAAAAATTTGTAAAGAAAAGAAAAGAAAAAATAAATTCCAATGACATTTCACAGACCTAGAAAAAAACAATTCTAATATTTGTATGGAACAACAAGAGACCCCAAATAGCCAAAGCAATCTTGAGAAAGAAGAACAAAGCTGGAGGTATGCTCCCAGGCTTGAAACTGTGCTATAAAGCTGTAGTAATCAAAACAGTATGGTACTGGCACAAAAACAGACACACAGATCAATGGAATAGAATTGAAGGCCAGAAATAAACCCAAACATATGTGGACAGTTAATTTACAGCAAAGGAGCAAAGAACATACAATGGAGAAAGGATAGTGTCTTCAATAAATGGTGTTGGGATAATTGGACAGCCACATGCAAAATAATGAAGCAAGTAAGATAGTGAAACTATCTTACACCAAACACAAAAGTTAACTCAAAATGGATTAAAGACTTGAACGTAAGATCTGAAACTATAAAATTCCTAGAAGAAAACATAGATGGTAACTTTATTGATATTGGTTTTAGAGATATTTTTGTGGGATATGACTCCAAAGGCAAGGAATCAAAAGCAAAAATAAATAAGTGACACTACATCAAACTAGAAAGCTTCTGCACAGCCAAGAAAACCATCAAAACAAGCAGGCAACCTATTGAATGAGGCAAGATATTTGCAAATAATATACAGGCATACCTGGGAGATATTGCTGGTTTGGTTCCAGACCATGCAATAATGCAAATATCACAATAAAATGAGTCACTCAAGAATTTCTTGGTTTTTAAAAAGGACAGTGGATCATTGGAATATGTTAGTTAAAAAAAAAAGAATCTGTCTTTTGTTGAGAGAGGATTTTAAAATGTGTCTCAGGAGAAATTCCCCAATCTTAATTGTTACATGTATATCTGTTTATTTAAACATGAAAAAAAAATCCTAATTTTAATATGATGAGTTTTAGGTACATCTGAAATAATCACCTTATTTGTGTCATCCAAAATGATCAAAATATGTTTCACTTTTACCCCGTTGAAATGACCCATGACTTAACAGTACTGTAACAGAGGTTAAATAAAAACATGGCATACCTCTCCCAAGAATGGGGTGAAGATGAAGTTGATATTTTGAGGAGATAAATAATAGCTCCTTCCAACATTTTACAGAATGGAGAGTTCATTATTCTAGTTATTTATTATTATTTTGGATAAGAAACAAATATCTGAACGTTTTCAACAAATCAAGTTGTGATACATCCCAGATTTTAAAAAATAAGAATTTCCGTGTAGTTTACATTATGAACTTTTAAAACTTCACATGGATCATGTAATATCAGAACAGGGAAAGAACCAAAGGCCATGGTATCATGAACACATGGATATAGTACTGCTATTTCACTTGTCATTTCAATGTATATTTAAGATATCAATCAGAGCTCACACATTTAAACTTCCTGCCTAATTTTTGAATTTCCACTGACATAAAAAAAAATACACTTAAAGTAAAATTTCCTATCAATATTTAAATCCAGGAAGCCACTCAAATGTGAAAAAATATTGAAGAATTTCTGTAAAATAAATTGTAGGAATGAACATCTTAATAGGACAGTCAAATATCCAGTGAGTCTCTGCAAAGCTGGAAAAGCCCATCTGGATATGAGGGGTAGTAGCTGCACTGTGGAATCCCACTAACATTCTTTCATTTGCACCAGCAGAAGATGGAGCTAAAGGCAGCCTCTGGGCCTTTGATGGGATGTACAAATTGATCACATTATTCCCCCAGATTTCTATCAAATGTTGGAATCAAGTCCATGGGACAAGCCTGCAGTGGTGCTGTCTCCCAGGTTACATTTGGCATGCATGGCTTTTTCAGTAAAGCAAGGCAGTACTATAGCTGGTTCCAAGTGAAGGGAGTGGTGCCAGCTCTAAAGAGTACAACTGACCCAGCTAATGCCTGCTGCTCTGAGAAATGCAAAAAGGAGCTATTTGGCAGAAAGGTGAAGCACTATGTCTCTGCTCTTTCTGGCTATATCTCCCTTGCTACTCCATCCTGGCAGCTGAAGATAGAGCAAGTCTAAACCTTCCCTTTTATTCCTTTGCCTGGTCTGGAAATATTCGAACAGAAATCAACATAATCTCTGATAGATCCCATCTTAAATCCCAAATCTGGAAAAGAATGATTGACTGTATGAACTCTGTAGAGGTGGAAAAAATATATTGGACATACACAAGGACTAGGTTTAAAACAGGGAGTTAATCTAAGGATTTAAACCAGTGCTGAGATAGGTCAGGCATTTCTCTTACCTGGGTAATTTTAACTTCCATCAAGTTGGGCTCGCTGCTTCTAGCCTGACTTCCTTGCTCTAAATCCATGTCTGTACTGCAGCCAGAGTGAACTCTAAAATAAAACTGTGTCAGGAGTGCGGGGTGATCCAGTAAGGCATCGCTTAGAAATTGACCTTTGGGCTGAGGCATAATGAAGAGAAGGTGCCAGGTGATGATATCTAGGGAGACTTTTTAGACCACGGAATAAAAAATATCAAGAAATTAATTCAGGAATAAAATGGGTTTTATGGAGGGACAAAAACAGGTCCAGTGCACTGGCTTCCATGCACTGATGGAAGACAAGAAAGATGTAAGAGACATCATCAGAGCATAAGGAAATGAACAGTAGAAAGATCACAGGTCTTGTAGTACATGATGCAGCTTAAGGAAATTTTTAAAGGGAAATTGAGAGCTGTTTAAGTGACTTTAAGTAGGATAGACATGTATATGATTTCTATTTTAAAATATAATTTTGGCTTCTTTATAGAAAATGAACCAAGGCAGGGAGGTTGGTGTGGAAGCTCTTGCTATAGTCAAGCTGAGAAATGAAGTTGACTGGATTAGAGGTGTCAATAAAGAGGTAGGTTATGTGCTGAGATATAACAGAACTTGAAGAGTTTTTAGATTTGTGTGTAAAGAGGATTGGGGTTATGAGGGAAAGGAAGAAATCAAGAATTACTTTTACCTAACCATATCCTACTCACTGACATATGAAAATCTGAGGGAGAAAAAGATTTTGTGGTTAGAGAGGGGGAAATATTATACAGCTTTGTTAATTGTGAGATATCACTAGACAGGTAAATATTGAAATATCCAACTCTGGGGAATCTTCAGAGTAGGAGATAGAGTTTAGAGTTAACTAGCATATAGATAACATATAAAAACCACTAACTAAAAATAAATCATCAAGGGAAGAGAAACAAAGAAGTCTTGACAAAATACTCCATGGAAAAATATTAGAGTTTATAAAGAATAAATAGTCTGCAAATAATAGGGCAGTTAGGGGAGGATGAGAGAAAATGAGGGATGAAATTACAGATAGAGAAGAAAGTAGCTCTATATCAAACTTTCTCCCATATTATCAGAAATTATTTCTAAATATGCATAGAATATTTGTGTAAAAGATCATTTACATTATCAGTAACTCAACAAGTATGGTTGAGGCTGTAGGAAACAGTTGTCTTATGCAAAAGTGCATTGAATAAAGACTTGGAAGGTGGAAATGTAAATCTGAGTTCTTCCAGTGGCCCATGGTATACTGAATCTAATCAAAAATCTTGGCTGAAAAAGTCATCATTTTAGCTACTCTTAACTCATACTCAATGTCACTTTCTATTTTTGAGTATGACTTTTTAGCTGGACCAACTACACCCATAATTTTCAGGACTCAGTACAAAATGAAAATGCAGGGCCTCTTGTTAAAATAGCATTAAGAGTTTCAAGACAAGGACACCAGAACCTTAATAAGCCAAGTGCAGGACCCTCTGAGCTTGAGGATCCATGTCACTGCCCAGGTTGCACATCCGATGTCCCTCAATAATACATTCCTCTGCCTCCTAAAATAATTCATTAAAATGCTTTTACTCTATGTCCACTGCTGCAATTTAGCCCATGCTATCCTATACTCTGCATTTGTTAGAAAAGTCATTAAAATGAGATAATGACACATTTATCTTAAAACCCTCAAAATGTTCTCATATCTCTTAGAATAATATCCAAAGTTCTTACTAAGTAAGAGGACCTCTGTTTTCTTGATTTTATTTTTTTCCTTTCCTCTCCACACCCAATCCATTGGCAAGTCCTGTTGGTTCTACCACCCACATGTATCCTGAATGTGGCAATTTCCCCACAACTCCACTGCTGTCATCCTACCCCTGCTACATTGATAACTATAATAACATTCTAGGTAGTCTCCCTTTATTGTTTTTTTTTTATCTTTAGTAAGTCATTCCCCTCCTAAATGTAAAAGTAACATTTAAAACCATAAATCAGTGCATGAGACTTCTCTGATTAAATCCTTCTTGTGACTTTCAACTGCATATAAAGTGAAATCTGTACTCCTGTCAATGGTCTACAAGGAAAACACATACATCTTGCCCTTGTCTAGTTCTTCAAATGCCTACTTGTCTACTCCCTCATTCCCTATTCTCTTGTATTCCGTAAGTAGAAGATAACCAGAAACGTCAGAGGTTTTACCTTTAAACAACCAAACTCATTGGTGAGTAAAGGCCTCTGAACATTTACACATCTTTGTGTGGAGAGCTTCTCACAGCTCATGGCCAGCTCTTCCTTATCATTCCTGTCTCAGTTCATCTACCTCATGCACAGAACTTCTAACCTGAAGAGGCCTCTCCCTTCTTATCCACTACCTTGTGGATTGTAGTCAAAGTAATTATCACCATCTAGCATTTCCTTAATTATTTATTTCCTTAGTTTTGTTTCCACCTACTGCAAAGCAAGAGCTATGTAAAGAGTATCTTGTTCTTTGCTGTATTATCAGTGCTTGGAATAGTACCTAGAATTTAGAAGTTCCAAGTTTTCAATGAACAATTACAAAAAGAAAATGTACAGGCCTCTTTCTGTAAAAAAAATTAGAATTAACAATAAAAGAATGAGTAGGCATATAGAAGGGCTTTCCCCACAGCCAAAATAAGAAAAGAGTGCACCAGGTCTGATTTTGTATTCTGAGTCTCATCTCTAATCAAGTCCACTGAACCTCCAAATTTCATTTGGCAGCTCATCAGGAAAAATAACAATGATGCTGAGATTGCATCTAAAAATTAATAAACAGATATTTATTGATTGTCTCTTATAGGCATTGAGCAAGATTAGGTGATGGATGTGGATGGACCTAGAGACTGTCATACAGAGTGAAGTAAGTCAGAAAGAGAAAACAAATATCATATATTAACGCATATGTGTGGAATCTGAACAAAATTTGTATAGATGATCTTATTTACAAAGCAGAAATAATGACATAGATGTAGAGAATTAACATATGGATACCAAGGGGGAAAGTGGGGTGGGATGAATTGGGAGATTGGGATTGACATATATACACCATTGATACTATGTATAAAATAGATAACTAATGAGAATCGACTGTATAGCACAGGGAACCCTACTCAGTACTCTGTGGTGACCTAAATGGGAAGTAAATCCCAAAAAGAGGAGATATATGTATACGTACAGCTGATTCACTTTGCTGTACAGTAGAAACTAACACAACACTGTAAAGCAGCTATACTTCAATAAAAAAATTTAAAATATATAGCATGCAATGTTTGTGTCACCTGTTAGAGGGGGCTGTATGTTATCTAACAGTGCAACACACGGGATACTTTCAAAAAGCTAAAGAAGTTCATAACAGATTGGGACTGGGGTGACCAGGGATGACTTTGGGAAGCGATAATAATCAGAAATCTTTAAAAGATGGACTGGGCTGGACTGGAGAACAAAACTTGCAAATGTAAATATGATCCTTTTCCAAGAAATTTTATGGGACAATAAAGTGAACTATTTAGGTTATTGCAAATGTTTACATATAGAATTTATGGAAAATAAATTAGAAATGTATGTTTAGTTGGATTGTGAGATCTTTGAATGCTAAATGCATTTAAAAGTTAAAATGCAGGGGAGTACTGTTGGGAAAGTAGTAAGATAGGATTTAATCTATAAAAATTTATAGAAGAGATTGGACTACCAGAAACTTGGAGCTGGGAATAAAAGTTGGAATATTAGAATTGTCTATATATAAGAGGGTAAGTGCTTCAGCTAGAATGTCTATAGTGAAAGTTAAACAGGGGAGATAAAAATAGCAAGTCTTTAACACGTGACCATTTGTAGTTGCTTTGGGAAGAAAGGGAATCAAATTCTTGGGTATTGTTTCAACTCTACAATATAGAGATAAAGAGAGGCAAGGATAGTAGATGGAAACTCCTATGAAAACATGATTTCTGTTTATAGATAGATATGTTCCTTTTTTCCAGTTTCTAAAAGTCCAGTACAGTCACAGTGCTGATTATTGGCCCTGAGGTGAAGAATATATACACTTATCTATCTTCTTTATTTAGCTTTATCATCAAAAATTATTTAGTTAAAACAGAAAAAAAAAAGACATTATAAAGTCCTTTCTTTCTATGGTATTCATTTAAGTTAAAATTGAGATTTAAGTCCTAGTCTGATAGATTTCCACTGGGACGTGTATTTTTTGGTTAATGAGGTGGTTTAAGATAATTTTTATTATGTGCCCTGTAATTCTGTACCTGATGAGATGTGTGTGTGTGTGTGTGTGTGTGTGTGTGTGTGTGTGTGCAACCTGAGTGGGGGAGGGGGGAGTTAATATTATGTAACTCTTAAGCTGTTGAATAATGTCTCTCTAAACAAAATATAAAGTAGTGTTGTGTTATTAAAATATACTGAAATTGTTTTAATTAATCATTTTAATACTTCAATGACAGCTTTTCATGACTACATTTTTATCTGATGTTTATTTCTGAGATAATAATAGCAAGCATTTATCCAATAAATATTTATTTAGTGTCCACTATCTGCTAACCTGAGTTGGGTGCTGGAAATATAACACTTAACAAATCAAACATAATTACTCTTGGATCTTATATTCATTATTACTATAAATCCAGTACTGGTTAAGTGTTTAACATACTGTATAAGTCACGGTTTATCGCCAAAAGCAAGAGAAACTGGCTGATTCAAGCATGAGCAGAATTCATTAACAGTGGAGCTGGAGAACAGGATTTGAGGTGACATAGCCCTTAACAGTGTCCAAAATATGCCAAAGGAAATGATCCAGTGAAGTTAGACTCTGGTTACACCAGGCACCAGAATCTGCAGTTGGCAACACTGACCCCACCACCACAGCACACTGGACCACAGAACTACTGATTCTGGAAAGTAGATGTAGCTGCTGCCAGTGGCTACCTCTTTCCACACTGGGTTCTGTGTAGACCCTACTGCCTTCTATCACTAGTTTCTGATTCAAAGTCTGTGGAGGGTATGTTTAATTGGCACAGTCCAGGTCACCTGATTGCACCTTAGTAATAAGGGAGGCTGGGGAATGACCCTGGCACTTTTAGCTTCTATAGACACAAGAATGCTTTGCCTAATGAAATGTAATATTCCCTAAAGAGAGGAAGCTGGTTCAAAATTCTGAAAAGGCAAACAAACAAGAAACAAAAATGACAAATATTCACTCCCTGTACATTATCTAATTTAAGACTTGCTATTAAAAAAAAAAGACTTGCTACAACTCTGATATTATTATAATTATTTAGAACATGAAATAACTGACATGCAGAGATTCTAATTAACCCATTGAACAGCCAACATCTTAACCAAGTCCTGTCAGATTCTAAAACCCAAGCCAATGATTCCGTGCTCCAAAACTTTTTGGGATGTCTTAATATACAAATGAAATATAATTGTCTTAAACATATATTCATGTGCTTGAAATAGTCAGTTTCCATTAGATTTTATATCCCTTAACAATCTAAAATTTATAGCCAATGACAGAAAAGGAATACATAAACTTAAAGAATAATGTTTGATTTTAGACTCAGTTTACTGTTCTTTCTTATATTAAGGCTCACAGAGATATGGAAGACATTGTCAAAATACTACTAATTTATCTATGTTTATGATCATGGAATTTCAAATATTCCAATGTCAGCTGCAAATATATTAAAATGACTTAAACCTGCCATTTTCCAGAAATATGTGAGGATCATTATCTATTGATATGGTCACATTTTTAAAAAATTACTAAAATATAAAAAGTACATTCTTAACTTTGCTAGGTACATTCAGATATAATACACTGTTTTGAGTCTTGACAAATAACATCCACTTATAATAAAAGATCTTACAGAAGGGATCACTATACAACCTGGTGTTTCTGCTCCTAGAACTACTGCCAGAGACTCTTGTTCATGCTCACACAAATATTTATGGTAGCATTATTCATAACAGCTCAAACTAGAAATGACACAAACATCACATTAACAGGAGAATTGAAAATAAAAATTTGCTTTATATAAGAGAAGGCTCTACAGAAGTGAAAATAAATCAAAATGAAAGAATCTCGAGCATAATATTAAATGAAAGGAGTAAGTCACAAAGGTATATATACCATATTATTTGACTTGTATAAAGCTGAAAAAAAGGAAAAACCTGGTTATAAATAATAAATTAATATTGAAATAAAATAATGTAATAAAATAATCTTATTCTGTAATGTAGTTATAATGGTGGCATTAAAAGTTAAAACAAGGGAAAGATATACACAAGATTGAGTGCATCACTGCCTTTGGAAGTAAAAAGATGTGATCAGAAATTGGTACAGGAGGGGTCTCTAAGGTACTGAAAATGTTCAATTTTTTAATCTGAGTAGGTTTTTTTGTTTTATTATTATTTTTTACAGTATGTGTAAGTTTTATACACTATTGATTACATAATATAATCATATTTTAAGAAATAAAGACAGAGAAATGTAACATATATATGAGTCCTTACTTTGTGCCAAAATCTACAATCTTAAAACCGGTGATTTGAAGTGACTCCATTTGTTGAAGTCCTTTCAGAACACAAATGCAAATAGGGCTAATTCCATGCTGAGAAGTCGAGAAGGACCTTTAACTCTGCACAATTCTCCCCTTTCCACATCCAACCTTTCCACCATCTTGTTCTGTCCCTAAAGGAACTGCAGTATCCAAAGGGTTTTACCTCACTTCCAGTCTACATAGGTATACATTTGTTTCCAGTATGCTGATATCAAACCATTGCTTATTTTTTATCTTTCTTTCTTTTTCCATCTGCCATAAAATCTTGCATTTACGTCTTGTTATCTTTTAGGATATAAGTAGGTTAATTCAGGTAGAACACACATTTGTACATATTAGCAACATTATAATTAATTAAAATCATAATTATTACATTAGTAATTGAGTTGTTATTTATAGGCACTTTTTTACAATGAGGAAAACAGTTTATGTTAGTGACAGAATTATTTCTGGGAACAAAATACATTAGACAGTTTTTGACAAATTAGGATTAAATGATTTTAATTTGGCCTCAGGAATGTTTCATTAACATCTCCATAACTACCAATCCTGATAATATTCTTCATATTTATCATATAGTTCCACTTAGGCATGATTCAGCTGACTTCATTCAGAAAAGACTTAGTGATAGTTACAACTGATTTAATATTGACTCTTTAGACGATCATTGGAAAAAAAAAAAAGGTGAAACAACACAACGAACCAAAGGAATTTGGAAATAAGATAATTAACTCTACTTTTACATTAATATGTTAACTAGGATTCCAAAGCATGATATTGGCTGACAAAAACAAAACAAAACAAACAAACAAAAATATTAAACTTCCAAATATACAATAAATTAGTTGTAGTCCCCTTCCTTGCAAAACTTCTCTCTTTATACCATTGAATCATCACCGGCCATACCCACAGGGATGGTGCCGTTTGCCTCTCCACCAAAACTACTCTTTTCTTCTTCCTTAATCAACAACCCAAGAGTGAACATATAACAGCACACAATTTGTACATATGTGATATTTTCAGACTAAATTTTTTCAAAGTGTTACTATCATTAGTAGAAAACAAAATTGACATTCTTGTCCTACTCTGCCACTAATAATCTGCATAATTTTGAACAGTTTATCACCTGGGGCCTGTTTTCCCTCCAACTAAATCAGAAGGTGAAGCAGAGTATGGGCCATATATGCCCAACAGATATATTTTATTTGGACAGTTATGCTATTTTTAAATGCTTTAAATTAGCTGTCAACATTTAAAAATCAGAGTTCTTCACTCACATATCAGGAT